CAGATAGAGCAAAGGGTTGCCTTATTCCACTTTAATATGATGGGAATATAGCTTCGTCTAACTTCAACACAAAATTTCGGATTATACAAGGTCCTGCAAAAGTGCGTTAGTTTTTCGTAGCTCATACTCGGTAAAAAACATAAAAAACCTTTTGTGCAAATGTCAACTATAGATAGTTGTTGCGCATCTGATTAATTATTTTTGATATTACAGAGGGTCCCATCTTTACGGCGTCAATAAATAACTTAGTTGGATTTAGTGGTACAGGGTGTTTACAAGAAAATGGTAACATTTACAAATTTTAAAGTGCCATAGCTATTTTTTTCAATTGGAATTACCACTATTTTATTTCGCTATTCGATAATCTTTTGTGCTTATATACCGGAGTAGGCTGTGATAATGAAATGAACTCAATTTATTATCTTCATAATATCTTCATTGCTTGAAAATCCGGCGATCAAAGCACAAAATAAAAATCTTTTGGTTACTTCTAGGTGGGTTCAAGTCAAAATATTAACACATTTCCACAAGATGAAAGTGTCTTTCCTTTAAATTTTACATATTTCAATTACCAAAGTTGAACTTTTATGCCTTTAAAGTCTCAGTAATGGATTGAACATACAAATATTTTAGCTAAAAAACCCGCAAAATAGCTCGAGCTTCTACCGCGGTTCTAGCTCTAGGAAGCTTTTGGACGACTACCCCTCAAAGACGCGCACCTTGCAATAGGTGGTTAATTTCGCCTCTAGGAAAAAAACAAAATTCCGTCACGCGCGTTTACTAGATCTCTCCTCTCTTAAAACACAAGATTTAAATTGTGCACAGTGTGATTATACAACGAACTACTGTATCCGGTACGTAAGAAGATCACGCATTCCCCACTATTCGTGCGACACGGAGCCAGTTAGTTTCTTTTGCAGACTCTAAACTAGCCATCTGTGCATATCCCGCTTTAGACTTCTTATGTGGCGGTACCAGAAAGATAAAGTAGAAAGTAGGGATGTGTTAACTCACAATACCTTCAAATATTTAAAATCTACATAACGTGATTTTGTAACACATCACCACCATGTCTTGAAATGGCACACAAAAGCTGAAATGATTTAAAATGTGCACACTGTAATAGCATTGTATGGGGCAATGTCAATGGCCTATATATAAATAATAAATAAATAAATAATAATGCTTTATTTGCCCAACAGGAACACCCATTTACAGGACAAAGGCGAAAATACATAAAGAAAAGTTATTAATCCTAGATTACTAATAAACGCTAAAAGTGAGAACAAAAAAAAAGAAAAAAAAATACTCAGCAGAAACAAATAATACAAAAAAAACAAATGATTTGAAAATAATGTACCTACGCAAAGATATTAGAAATTATTTAGACGCTATTTCACAGGGGCGGTTTTATACATCTACTCAGGGGGGGGGGGGCGAAAATAAAAAAGCTACAGTATTGCAGATGCAAAGGTGCGCGGGAATTTTTTTTAAGTAGCTTTGACCCAATTTCAGCTGTTTTTTGTTAAACTATCTATTGCCGCATTAATTTCCGAATACTGACGAAGGACAGAAAAAATACTAGAGGCGATAATGATATTGCTAAAGCGGTAAAACTGAATTAGGTAAATAAAAATATATTTTGAGATAAAAAAAAAATTGAGCAGTATGTTTCGCCCCTGTCGCCCCCCCCCCCCCTAAAAACCGCCCCTGCTATTTCAAGAATATAGTTCTTACTACAGGTAAATATATCACATTCATTACTAATTTTATTAAATGTGTATACGAGGTTCGCCGGGATAGGCGATGCAATGTTCATCTGTTATATAAATTAAAATGAATATGTGTCTGCCTGTTTGTCTGTCTCTAATCCTTGTCTAAACCGTTCATCCGATTGTAATGAAGCTCTGGGAAATGGTTAGACATAAAGTTGGACGAAAATTTTTGAGTTAGTGAAACACTTTCCGAAATTCCAACGGGAACGGGAACAGGAAAAAACAAGATTTTATGTTATGTTTTACAGTTGAAAAGGGACTTGACATTTAGAACGTAGGTGTTTTTGAAGGCGTTTTAAGGCGTACTCCAAAGAACTTCCCGAAACTTCCCCGGAAACGGGGTACGGGAAAAACCGGGATTTCACAAGGGCGGTACAAAGTTCGCCGGGACTGCTAGTAACTGCACAGGGATAATAGGCGGCTGAATTATGCTCTTTGCTAGATCCTTGCACCATAGGCTGATCTAAACTGCTCTCTGATCCGTCTTTCAGGCATCCATAAAGCTCTTAGTTGAAGACTTGAAAAGTGACTTTCACAATAGCCTTTAACAGGAACATATATAAGTAGTATATCACATCACGAACGGACTGTAGGGACTGTGTCTGAAAAATACATTCTTTGTTATGCTACAGACACTCTATCGTACTTACAAGGAAAAGAACAGGCCCCGACTACGAGTACTTATATCGAATTTTTAGCGTAACCAGTAACACAACAACGCTTATGTGTTCGATTTTCCGTCGTCTGTCAGTCTGTCTGTCTGTCTGTTTTCTCGAGATCTCGGCCCCTGGCTCACTTCTAGTTTTCGCTAATTGATAGCTGTTATCGTCTATATTTGCCCGTTACTCATCATTTACAGTTATGTTACGCGGCAACACCCACGAGTGCGTTTTGAAACATTTTTAGCGCATTTTAGAATTTAAAAAAATGTGCTATTGCTTGCGTTTTGTCCGTTCGGACCCACGTCTACCATTTTGAACTACTTCGAGGGGAATGGCCCTAGAGTTCTGGATTTTTTTGCAGAAGGTAGCCAATGCCTTGAAGGTGTGTAAGACGGCCATCAAATTTCGCTGTCTAAAAGGGGGGGTCCCCCACAAATTATTTCCTGAGATGCTGTTTTTGAAAGTGAAACGTGCATAACTTTTACATACGACAAGCAATTGGTCTCAGATTTTGCATACGCACGCCTTTAGCGGTGTCAAGTTAAACATTAGAAAATGGGGGGGGGGGCACATGGGGGCACATACATGGTATTCCGTGCGACTCTTTTTCGAGATCAGCGAGCGACGAGGCCTGAAGGGGGGGGGGGGGTTAAAAATTAATTTTATTGTATTCTAATTAAAGGTCTCAACGAAAGGAACCGTTTTCTACCAACTACTGCCCTTCTTTCTGGAGCAAATTTAGGATTTTAGTTTGATCTTCCAGCACTCACAGAATACTGATATGGTAGGTATGTACATCGATAGGCTGGGTTACCGATGTTTGAGCCTCCACATTATTTTTAGCTCATGTTGGAAGGCGATATTATGTCCACTTTCGCCGTCCGTCCGTCCGAGGCCTTAAAGAATTTCAAGCTATTTAGATCATTATTTTTGAATTCGGCAGCTTACAGCTCTGACTGTACCTTCACCTAGAAAAATCTTTACGATTAATGTGCCCATGGGCTGACTGCGCAATGTCTAGTTTCTTTGTATATCAGAATATTAATTGCGCCATAACTTATTTTTGTTTGTACACATAAAAAGTCCCTCATATGACCTTTGAGGACAGACTGATCAATTCCAGGAAAATGTGCCTAAGTTACTCTCCTTAAGGCGAATACATTTTCTTTGTTTTTAGTTTCAAAGGTTAGCGAAAAATATTTCTTTAAATATTTGTCCCGTAATCCAGGAAAGGAAGCTTAAAATAGAATTTTTTTCAAAATGCATCGAGTTGCATAAAAATGTGGGATTTTTGTATTGAAGAGAAGGAGGTTTCTTTAAAAAAAAAGATTTTTTAAAATGAATGTCAAGGTCAATAAATTTCTCTAAAATGTCACCAGGAACACTTCAACCTCGGATACTTGCAGCATTTTCCGTTTTGTTTTCCAACTGTTTGTCACACCATATACTTATTACTGGCTTACGAAACACGCCCATTCCGCCAACTTAAGAGGTAGCTACTGTGTAGGATTGAAGGAAGTTGGTAATTAATATAGTTCGCCTTCTTTTGCATCTTAATTACGCGAAGAAACGATCTATGAATTGATAATTATTGGAAATAGTTTCCCACGTTATAGATTTTATATGACTAATTTCACGAATTTTGTTTGTGCAAATTTATTATGTAAGTTCTTTTTTTATAAATAAAGGCAGAAATTATATTAAATGTCAAGCAAACTACCTATAGCACTGTAAATCTATAGGTATATTTAGTACGAGGAATTTGCAATCATTTTTGTAAACAGGTCCACCTCTCAACCTCACCTTTATGTGCATAAAAAAACGATTAATGCTTATAAAAATATGTCGTTAATCATGGAAGTATAAAGGAAAAGTGTGGATAATATTTATTTTAATTACGATTTCATAGGTGTTGAACTAATATGGTAATTGTTGTTAATTTAATTTATGGCAGAAAACTAGGCTACACGCACTGCACCACAGGCGCCAAATGAATACATTTTCGGTAATAAATTTAGGACGATGATGCCATTTGGAAATTAATTTTATTCCAGTTAAATGATTTTTCACTGGCTCACAGCGTGAGGAAATGTTCTGGTATTGATGAACGTAATAAAAAAAACAAAAGTTGCAGACGTATTATTAATACCAAAAAACGAAATGCCGTTTCCTGACCGATGGAATGTTGCATCGGAAGATTTTTGTACAGATAATCTGCATTCAATAAGAATGACAAGTAAAGGCTGGAGGCAAACCTGTTGAACGTACGACGACCCCCACATTTATATTTTTCACGTACAACAAAACATTGTAGTTCAATGTATTTATAACTTACCTCCACATTCCCTAGGGCCTAAAGTGTCCAGTTTTTAATGGAATCATTGATAATTACAACGGTTTAAACATATTTGAATTGCCGACCTTCATTTTTGTTACTGACGTATTTTGCTCATTCCTTACTTAGTGTACATAGGTACACAAAATTGTTAATTTTGTGAATGATGTCACACGACATTTAATTGTAGGAAATTACAAATATTACTAATTATGTTATTTTTTTCAGTTGACGTCTTCAATTGGATTGGTGACCGAAGGCCTGCCATTATCACGACAGGAGCGCGGTACCAACCAAGATATCTTGGCAGGTGCTGATTTCTTATCAGTCTTAATTGGCTCCACGGCAGTTCAAGAGAGACAAATGGGACCACAGTCTGCTACTTCGCAAATATTACCAACAAGTATGACACGACGGCACTCCAAGAAACCACTAGGTCTGCGTACTCGTGAATTACGAAATCCAAGATCCACCAACGCCGTTGAACTTATAAGCGCAACCACATTACCAACAAGTGATAACCTATTTCCAAATGGCGAAAAAATAAAATTAGAATCCAACGTAACAAAAGAATTCAGTGATAAAATGAACCCTAGTTTAATTGTTTCGGTGCACGTTTCTTCTTCAGTAAGTAATTCGCAGAAGAATAAACCTTCACCGGATCCGACGGAATCGAAAATTCATTCACGATTATCGTCAGAACTGTCAAAAACTGAACCCGATATAGCGGCATCGGAAGAATTCACAAGTTTGATATCCGACTCCAACAAAAGCGAATTTAGCGTTAATGAACGCGATCCGATAACAAGTGGAGCCGAAATGGAAGAACAAAGTGACGGCTATCCCGCTGATGTACGAACTATACCAAATTCAAAAGAAGAACCTTTCGGTCATCATTCGATTGTATATCACGACGAACCTGCAGAACTGAGTCGTGGTAGATCGGTATCCTACAGCACGGTCGTACAATCAATTCCACAGAGTGCGAAATCGGAAACTACGAACAAATTCAACGAAACAAATCAAAGACAAGATCGCCATTTCGAATTCAAAAATGGGCCAAACGGGAATCATTACCTAGGAGTTAACAAAAATTTTAAATCGAATTTCGAAACGGGAATCGCCGATAGAAAAGGTCCTCCCGAAGCATCGAGCTCGGCAGCAGAAACCAACGACTATTTCGTTACGGCAAGATATGAATCTGCGCAGCATTATCCAAAACATTTTTCTAGTGATAAACAATTACGGTGGCGAAACCCAGACTTCTCTTTTATTTCTGAGTCGGCCCCGCAAAGATCGACCGAAAAATACTGGGGGGTTGTAGACAAACCTCGCGATCAACAAACTTACGGAAGAACTACGACTGATCAAAAGCGCTCTCGCGTTCCTATAATATATGGGAGACCAGAGCAAAACTATGAAGTGGACGAATCCGTTAGCGTGATGAGCAATGGTCGAGTTCACGGCGTTCAAGCAAATAAAATTCACCTCTCGGTCCCACAGCTGGATGAGAAAAGTGAAATGAATAACGATAGTCAAAAGGTCGGTTACGTTGTGGAAGGGCGCAATTATAGAAAGTATCGGGTCGAAGAGAGAACTTCCGATGGATTTATCGTCGGTGAATACGGAGTTGTGAGTCACGATGATGGATCATTACGTGGGGTTCGATACACTGCCGATGGTACCACAAACCCTAGACTAATATATGATGCCTTAATGAAATTTTTGTCATTGTGATGGCAAATTATCCGGTGCAATTAACTGTAATCAACTAGTTCCTCTGCGTTCTCTATTTAACTTTAAAGTTTGATAGGTGAACGATTATTAAGGTCTGTGCTCATGATATTTTAAGTTTTAAGTCTAAGTATGTAGGTACCATTTTATATTTCAGACTTCCGCAACGCTAATACAATCTATGAGTTATTGAAATTTAGAGGAGACTAAGGTTACTTATTTTTGAGACTGTCAAAAAGTCTAAAGTTAAAACCATAAGTGTTTTGTAACACTTCAAGCAATGTAACTGTGATCAGTTCTTATCGTTGCCGAACTCTAATCTTAAAAATGTGTAATAGGTACTAAGTAGGTAGTTACTTGAAAATGCCATATGATGTTATCTTGTATATAAGAATTAGCGTTTGCTACCTTTGTTTTTAAGTTTTAAGTTTTTTAATGAAAATATTGAGAGTTGCTCATATTCTTAGTAAACAACTTCTAGATCCCATCTGATTTATATTTATTATTAATAATACATTGCTAAGTCAGTAATAAATATTGCATACATTTAAGCTTATCTTTTTCTACAAAGGTTAATTACATTACATGGTAAATTAATTACAAGCAGTAAGGTAATATCAATATACACAATTGATAGATAATTATGTGTATATCCGCTACACCTGTACATCTTATTGTAATATATCATAATTCGCGGAAATGGAATTTGAAATTCTAATTAAATACCTTGATCATTTCTATGCAAGTTTTAATACAAGGGTCTTCGTTTTCAACAATTTAAAAGTCGCTTTCGGATGCGAAAAAGTAATATTACAGACGAAATTAATAGGTAGGTACTGTAGCGTTATTATAATCTATCTGTCACATTTTGAATAGGGCTGAGAGGGATTTTTAAATAAGCGCTATGTTTGTGTAATTGTGCAGAGAAGACAGAAAGCAAAATTGAATTTATAACCTTTCCCTTTGTTACAGTTCCTTTTATTTTCATTTCTTGTAGATTTCCGTGCGTTACCAAAAATCTAGGTTTTTATAAAATCAAAGTACACGCACTATACAAAGTTTAGGTACTCATACACACAATTTAAATTAACCCTTGACTAGTGTTACATCGAGCAGGATACGCACGCAAAGTATAGGAGAATGAAATAACACCCCTCTATTGCCCGCTCTACCCTATGTTATAAAGGGTTCACATTCGAAGACATAATAATAATATATTTACGGAATTCACCTGTTACATTAAATACCACAAAAAAAAATATGTTCTTAGCTATGCAATTAGCATAAGTAGTTTGTGCGGATTTGGCTGAATTTCTTATCTTTGGTCCCAAGTCAACAGCAGTAAGGATGCACAGATTCTAACTTCTAGAACTTCTAAAAGCAGAAAAAAATTCTAAAAACAAAGTTAATTTTTCCAAACGAGCTCACAAATAACGGCTCGTGCCGCATTTACGCATTTGATATACAGGATGTTCAAAAATATGATGTAAATACGGCAGGGACCAATTCTTTGGTTTATTTCATGACTAAAAGTTTATATGAATATCGCAAACTTTTCGTTACTGTTCTACAGGGTGTTAAAACTTCAAGATTTTTTTTGTTTGTTCTTTATATCTCCTGCAGTTTTCAAGATACTTCGATCAAATTTGAAGTATGTTATGCTAAAAAGCTTACAATGCTTACATCATTGGCCATGTCAATGGTAGTGAGAATCTACAGGGTCATGTTCTGTTTTCTACCCCTGAACATTTTTTAGGTGCGTCACCGGTAGATTATAAAATAAGAATTTGATCTTTTGATTTGTTTGGACACTTTTCGTTCTCTTGTAATTTTTCCGTATTTGCGACCGATATCGAGAAAAAAAATCAGTTTTCGGTAGATATATAGTTAAATGAAAGGAAAATTTTTAAATAGTTTAGTATAGGCTCTTGCTTTATTTTGATATAGCACAGGGCCGAACTGCCATCTTGAATTTTAAAATTCTTTAAATTTCGCATAATAAACTAAAAAAAATTTTTTCACATTTTTAAAGAGAACTATCATTTTCGTAAAAACAAAAACTCAGTTATTTCAAAAACAAAGATGGTGTGGGGCGTTCAATTGTTTTTGCAATAACGTGCTTTATCTTCTTAACCGTTTTGATCGATTTTAACAAATTTGGTATGGTTAAAAAGAGCATTCCTTGGGCAACAAGAATCGACCAAAATATAGTTAATTTAGTTGAATCCTTCTCCGTCAGAGGGCTAGTTTTGACACTATGATCCAAAATCCTAAAAAAAATCAAAAAAATGAAATGGGATGATATGACTTTTTCTTTATGAATTTTGAAAAAAATTGTCAAAATATAAAGTAATAAAGATTTCAGGTTAGATTTCTTTAGGCGGTCGATTTCGATATGCTATCATCGTCCGGCCGTAGCTGATCTAATTCTGATAGCATATCGAAATCGGTCGCCTAAAAATATCTAATAATAAATTTACTTGAGTACCTGACATCTTTATTACTTTATCATTCAACTCAAGATGGAACACTACACAGACAAATAGTCAAAATATATCGATATAACGATACTAAATCTAAATTTGTTACAATCGTTCAAACGGTTAAGAAGTTAAAGCAGGTTATTGCAAAAACAATTGAACACCCCACACCATCTTTGTTTTTAAAATAACTGAGTTTTTGTTTTTACAATAATGATAGATAAACTGGGTCTTTTTAAAAATGTGAAATAAAAATTTTTTTAGTTGAATGCGAAATTTAAAGAAAATGCAATTTTAAAATTTAAGCTGGCAGTTACGCCCTTTGGTGGTCATTTTTAGAACTTGAAAATATTTTCGAGCGATTCTTCATAACCGATTTACCTAATAATTTTTTTACCCCTAAGTCATACGCCGAACGGTTCCCGAGATATGGCCGAGGAACAGTTTTATTGGGTCACCCGGTACAATAGCGAGTTTAAATAAAAGACAGTTAATTTTATTGGGGCATACATGAATCAAAATAAACAAAAAGAAGTTTTACGATGATTTAGAAAGTCAGTAAAAGATCACAAAGGCCAATTCGTATTTTAGCTGTTCAGTGGTTCACCCCCCCCCCCCTTTGGGTGATGCGCTCTCGCCTCGGCACTTGCATATTGCGGGGCACCCACAAAAACAGCAATGATACTACGCGAAAAGTCGGGGATATCTTGAATATCGATGAGGTAGCAGCAGTTGGTGAAATGTAACCAGGAATGAAACTTTGGTGGCCATATATTTCTTCTTCGCACAGTTCTCCAAAAAATGCTCTGGACGCACTGAAAATGTGCAATCCAGAAATATTTCCAACAGTGAATTTCTTATTAAGAATATTAGTTACCTTACCTGTGACAACTGCCACCAGTGAAAGATAATTTTCTACCCTGAGCCGGCTCAAAACTTATTTGAGAAATACCATCAGCCAAATCGCTTCAATGGTTTAGCTTTGTTGAATATTCACAAGCATATTGCTGTAGGTAATCATTGAGGAAGTGTTGGATGAACTTGCTCTCAAAAAAAGGAAACTTCCACTCCGTCTGTCTAACTTCATATTTACTTCTTTATACATTTATTACTTTATTATTACTTCATATCTAATATGAATCGAAAATATGTTTTGTTTGAGTTTGATATTATATTTATACTTATTCTATTCAAAATAAATTCTTTGATAATACTTATGAAAATAATCGTTTGTTTAACATTCATTCACAAACTGGATATATCCTTTCGTTCTAAACTGAGTTCCTATGCATATTCCTCCTTCCAGATTAGTTTAGAACCTGAAATCGTAAGACTATACTTACAAATCAAGCAAATTCCCAGAAGCACTAAAATTGATGATTCAAATAACCTGCTCGGCGCGAATATCCTAACCCCCCCCCCCCTCGGTTACATTCTGGATACGCTAATGTAGCTGTTGGTCGTAGGATCATAACGGCCACAATAATCACGACAGGCAACGATAGTCTGATCAAACGGCCTCTGTTATTACAAAGGGCAAAATCCGCATAATAATCACTACGACCATTACGGTCACAACACCTAATATCATCATCACAAGACGTCGTGTAACATGATCAAAACGGTTACTATGTTAGTCGCAACGACGATCGTGACGTGATCACAACGGGCAGTGGCCAATACCTACGTTTGATCACTGTAGTTCCTCTTTGTAAGTATTAAAACGCAAGGGCATTCCACTCCTATTGCTTTCAAAGAAAGTAGGACTAAATTACCGCGGTTCTTGATAAAGACATTAATAAATTAATATGTAGTATCATCTTTTCTATATGATCCTTCAAATATTCAAAAGTGCAGTTAACCCCCCTGTCCCCCTTCCTCCCATGTTTGAATATGGAGAAGCTCTACTCAATGCCAAAGAGGACCATCTAGAAAGTATTCGGATAAATACAGTTAAATATCGTAATGATGCAGCATACAGAGCTTCAAACTTAAGTCGGCACACGATACAAGGTTGGTTAAGTTATAGAACTAGTGTGTTTCTTTGCGCTGATTACAATGGTAAAAACAGAAAAATAATTGACAGTCGACTTGCAAAATTTATACACGCGATTTACGTTGAGTACTAAACAGAACGACCTTTCGCTTTTTTAAACCAATCTAATGGTTACATTTTTGGACGTTCCACATTCACGTGGGACGCTTTCTAATCACCATACCTTTTTTCCACTTGCTCGACTACCCGAACGCTAATCTATTCGGATCTTCTTGCCTCAACGCCAATCTTCGAATCTCTTTATTAGCTCACGGCCGCTGTTCGAAATTTGCTTTAGCTCGACTGCGAAAAGGAGAATCTATTCGCCTTGGCTCTCTAAACTTGAATGAATTAATCTTGTGCAAAATAATCCCCTCTCTAACTACTTAGTCATTCTTTAACGCTTATGCAATGGTAGAATAGTAATAGCGGCGCTATTTTATTAATTTTCATTGGTTCAACTGACTTTCTGATTCCGCTATGTCTGCTTACTCTTAACAAGCTGTGTGTAATTTACAGAGTTGCAGAACTAACTTACCACAACTTATTTCCAGCGTGTAATTCCAAACCAAAACCAGACAGCGAGGCGATAATATTTAGAACAAATAATTCATTGATACACATGGCAAGATTATCAAAGCTTGCTGCTATTTCAATCGACAACATAAAAACTTGAAGTTGTCATGAGTAAGTAATATTTGTTTGGAGGACTATTCTTGAAACCTTGACTCTTTTTAAATCTAGAAATTTTTCCGTTTGGCATAATTCAACGGAAAAATTGCAAAAAATTTAGCTATAGCTATAAATTTGTGGTGTTTATTAAGCGGCAGAACAAAGCGATGGTGCCCGTCTGTCTGTTCGTGTACGCAAAACTGCCAAACGCTTGGACCAATTCGGTTCAAACTTTGCACCGTTGACGTATACTTATACCACATGTAACAAGCCTACTTAAAATGGGACAAATCCAATGACCCCGTAATTCTGTCGCTGTTTTTAGATTCCCTTTACGAGGTTTTCTTATTTTTTTTAGTAGGTA